TTTGATCTAGTATAAAGGTTTAGTTTATGCAAACCTTCAGTCATCACAAGTGCTGCCTTTGTGGTTATTGGAAGATGTTGCCTCCATATAAAAGCCTGACATGTTACTATGTTTTTTATGGTGATCAGATTCAAAAGGTGATTGATAACTTACCAAGGAAGTATCTTCCACATTCCACCAGAGTCGAAATTACTTCTGTAGTTTAAACTTGAGTTCATTGTATCAGGAGTCCATATCACATAAAATTACAATCTTCCGTTAAAATTCTCACACTGCACTTAAAACCAGGTGACTTGCTTGACACTTTGAACTTCATTAATCACTTCTTACTTTCTGTGTAATCCAGGGAACGCCAACATTAAGAACCACTGCACAGACCGCACTTAAATTAGTCTGATACGCAATTAATTTCAATACATTGAACAGGTCTGCCAACCTGTGATCCCTTGACATTGCACTTGTCATTTGACTGTAAGGTCTGACACCAAAATAACGAGACTGCTGCTGTAACTTTTTTTTTTTTCCATAATGACAAAAATTAACTGTGATCGCCCTCGAAATAGTTCCCTTCGGAGTTGACACACAGCTGCATACGATGTTGCCACAGTTGAAATCAGTGCTGTAGATCCTTTTCTGTAAGCACAGTTATGTTCTTATTGGTTAAAAACTGCTTCACATACAAAGCTGTGCGGGCTGGCGCGTTATCCTGGTGCGAAATCCATCCGTTTTTTCACAACTCTAGCCGTTTTCTGCTCACTTGTTCGCCCAATTTTGAAAAGAGTTCGATGTAATATTGTTCATTTACCATCTGGCAGCTGGGAACCCACTCTGCCATCGAAACACTTTTGATATCAACTTGGCTTCGAATTTCGAACGGCTCATGCATTTCTCTCTCTCTCTCGGAGAGGATTGTGACTTCCGGTGCATACCGAAATATCCAAGTCTCATCACACGTAATTACCGATTTCAACAAATCAGGTTCGTCCTCAATGCGTTGCAAGAGGTCAGAACAAATTTCCTTTCGAACTTCTTTTTGTTCAGCTGACATTTTAGGAATCATTTTTGCTAAAAACATTTTTCATATCAATTCTCCAGTTAAAATGCGTCTAAATTAACTATCTTGGCTAATGCTCGAACACCTAACCTGCGGTCTTTTCGAGTCACATCTCGCAATTCTTTAATGTTGTTATCAGTAACTAATGTTCGTTCTTCTTCCACGCTTCCCCTGCCTTCCAAAAATCGTTTGTGCCATTCGAACACACGTGGACGAGACAAAATCTTCACTGTAAGCCTCAAGTCAATTACCGAAAAGTCTTCGTCGCGGATTTATTAGGTTTAATGAAAATTTCATATTAACGCGTTATTACAATTCACAATCTGACATTACCCGACCGTGCGTAAAAAACACATCTGTACAGAAACACTCGTCCACTGCTAATGAGTGACGCGATCAAGTTGAAACTTGCATCACTCGCAGAGGATAGATGATGGTAAAATATGACGTTTATTTCACACTCACCATTATTGGTCGCCTAGTTACAACATCAGTCTCGTTATTTTTGTGTCAGACCTCGCATAGATAAACTGTGTTAGTCAAGAATGCGAAGTTGAGAGTTAACTCTGATATGAATCCGAAGCAGAGGAGAGTGACTTTTGGAATGCTGCCTTGTCTTTATTCACTGAAACTGACCAATCGCATAGATAAACTGTGTTAGTCAAGAATGCGAAGTTGAGAGTTAACTCTGATATGAATCCGAAGCAGAGGAGAGTGACTTTTGGAATGCTGCCTTGTCTTTATTCACTGAAACTGACCAATCGATTTCGTGTGCTGACAATCTTTGCAGGTGTTTCATCGATGTGATCGTCGTCTTCGATTTGTCTTCATGGCGATAAAGACAGTGTTTCATAACATGAGTCATGTCTGTTCGTTTATATCGAAGGTCGGCAACCTTTTCGTTCCAACGGGTTGCGTTGGCTATCCATATCTGTGAAAATTATTATTATGCCTCTATCCATACAGCTGAGTTTACTGTAAAGATGTTGTTTGTTAACTTTCAATCTTGGTTTCAAGTCACTGCTAATTGTATAAATCTTAGGTTATTTAGTAGTTTTTATACTGTTTTATTACATTTCATATGGCTTGAACAATGAAACAAAGTGCCTTTGCACAATAACGCGATTCTAACGGTAAAAGCCTAAATCTACAAAATTCCCATGGGACAGCTGGAG